CACACCTACCTACGTTTATCCAAATAAATTGATTGACAAAAAAAATAGATTTTTTTGTTAGGATCCTAATCACACATAGTGCTACTGAACAATAATTACTGTAACAAGATATCTGGCTAAACGGCGAAAAAAAGCAAAAAGCAACCTGAAATTTGATAAAAGATATTCTTCAATCGCGACGAATAGAACGTATCACACGAGCCAAGACGTTGTAAGACGTTCGCAAGACAGAAAATCAATGTAATTTTATCATTGGGCGTAATCGGCTGGATGGAAGAAGCAAAGGACGGAGGCAATCTCGAAATGTGAAAATACTGTACGTACGAGATACGAGGACGAGCGAGAGATCACGCGGACGGAAAGAGAAAAATTATTCTCCGTGTGACAGGAATGCATTTTCTCAAGCGTACGGTATAACCAACATCGCCAACATCGCCAAACAACCAACCAACCAACCAACCGCTGGCGATGCTCGTGTTTGTCGCGACAATTGATCTCACGGCTTGATCTGACCACGGTTATATCGTACATTTGCGCGTCTCGATAAACGCGAAAATCCCGAGCCACCGGCTCAGCTGTCGTCAGCCGTACATCGGGGCGAATAAGAAAATGAGAGAAAAGGCGAGCGAAACACGCGATATGACAGAGTACTACGTGTCGTTACGAGGAGCAAGGAAGGAAGAGTAAGAACGAATGTCGGCGGGGTAGGCGAACGACGGAAAGGAGAGCGAGAAAGACAGGGCGGTCTGATTTGTCGCTCGTCGAAACGTGCAGCAGGAGCAGCGCGGCACGTACGATACTTACGGCCGAACAAACGTTGGTTCCAAACTCGTTTTCCGGAGCTCGCCTTGCGTGCCTCGCGAGAAACGTCTACATTACAAACGTGCCGCGAAAATCTCGATGGAAGACCTCCAAGTCTAACGCGATACGGACACGCTGCATCGATTGGCGAAGCACGAATGGCGAAACGGCGAGGGATCTCTTTCTCTCTCTCTCTCTCTCTCTCTCCTCCTCACCACACACACACCACACAC